TTACACGTGTCAATTGTAAGTTTAATAATAAAAAAGTGTAAAACTTACGTCGGCACTGTAAGATTTACACAATATTATGTCGGCATTGTAAGATTTATGCAAGTTTACGCTAAATTAATTTCCTGATGATTAACATTGTCACAAAATTTGTTTAGTTTAAAACTAAGGAATTCGGATTTAATTTTTGAAAATTCCAAAGAGAAAACACGGCCTTTGATTATCATAATTGATTGAAGCAACATCTGATTTGGTAAGTTTCCGTAATTTTTAATTTTTTTGGCATAACATTTTAATTTTATCTAATGCAGATGGTTTAGGTTATTAATAGATTACCGTAGCAAGTTTTAATTGTTTGGTTTAGATTGTTAACTAATTAGTAAAAACGTCCTTTTATATCTTACATGAAACCAGTCTTGTCAATGTGCTTAGCTTTTCGAATTTTTCGTTTTTTCCTCATTTTGCACGTGTTGCACGTATGCGTATGATAAAAACTTGAATATTGGGTTTAATACTAACTCAATTTGGTAAATCGCAATAAATTAATAATATATTAATATAGAATAAAGTGTTTGCGTAATTAAAGCTAATCAAATTCAGTTGATAGTAAGATGTTTTTTATAATTAAAGGTTGTGCATATTCGTTTGTGGGATCTTTTTTTTTATGCCAAATTTAAAATAGGTTTTTTTGCTGCAAGTAGTCAATCATTAATGATAAACTAGATGAGAATTATTAGAATTAGATTTGAAAGAGATCTTGAGAGTGTTTGTGTTATCTGATTAATTGGGTATAATTGATTAGCTGTTTTATTTTTCAAGTTGATATTATTTTGTTTTAACCATGAGTTAAACAAAGCACATTGTGGAAGCCAGACATTTTTATAATAGAAAGTTATTAGATTGTAGGAGATGATGTGAATGATGATTGAAGTTTTTTTGTGGGAAGTAAATATTGGATATATGGAGTTAATTAGAGATGATGGAATTAATCCAGCTGCAAGTATTACAGGTGAAGTATGGTTGAAGTTAGATTGGAATAGAGGTTGTAATAGTTGTTTAGTTTGTGTGATTTTGGAAGATCTATACCAATTTGAGATTTCAGAGATTATTGATAGTTGGATTATTAGCCATGGAATTGTGTCCAAATTAGAATTAGCTTGGCAAGAAAATAGGTGTGTGGTATTTTCAGGTGACTGATTACAATAGAGACAATTAAGATTGGGTGGGAGTAGCATTGGATAGTTGCATATTAAGTTTTTTATTGTAGGTAATGTGTTATGGAGAATTTCAAGCTTGAATGAGTATAATGAGCCATGGTAAAAGTGTGAATTATTTTCAGTGAACATTGAGTAATGGGAGAATTTTAGACAAAATTCTGTATATGACCAATTGATAGATGTATTTGATGGAATTTGCTTTACCAAGGTAGGTTGTGTTTGCCATTTAATTATTGCTTGTGAGTTTGAATTTAATTTTATGAAAGAGCATAGAAGATAATCAATATATTGTTGATTGAATATGATCAAATAAATTTTGGATTTCCAATTAGACATTTTAAAAAAATATAAGATCATCATTAATGATATTCTCTTTTTAAATATATGTACGTACCAATAATTAATTCAATTAAAACTAGAATGTAAGACATTCGATTATAAAATTTTTTTACTATGTAAATTCGAATTTTACTATCATCTACTATACTATAGATCTGCGGCGACCAGTAATTTTTTTAATTGCTTTTTTAGAAATAATAAATAACGTTTAATATGTAAAATAAATGGATCACGGCATAAGATCATCATAAATAACGATATTCTTATATATTTTTTTCCTTTTTAAAATATATATGAGAATTGCTATTTCTCACCGGTGGTGATTTTCACCACCTAAGGAATTAAATTTCCGTGGGGCGGAGTTAGGGTTGGGTTAATCATAAATTGTATAATTCCTTAGGTGGTGACAATCACCACCGGTGAGAAATAGCAATTCTCTTTTTTTTTACATTATATTTTTTTTTATTTTTTTTTTATTATTTTTTTATTTTTTTTATTTTTTTTTTTTTATTATTTTTTTTTTTTATTTTTATTTTTTTTTATTTATTTTATTATTTATTTATGCAAACAATTTCCTTATTTGCATTTCTTTGGTCAAGATTGACAAGTTTTTTCGTAATGAACTGAACAGACCTTCCATCCAAACTTAACGTTAAAAAAAAAATATTTCAATGAATTAATTATATCTTCTCTCGTATTATCTATTAGTTAGTAGTTCAGCAAACAAACTCGACATACATATCAATGGTCTGAAGAATCCTTGCCATTGGCAATGACATTTTCCGAAGAGGTTATGAAGTTATCAAGATAGGTGATGTTTAAGATTTCACGCTAAGTGCACAATGCTTTTCGAAAGAAGACAAGGATAAAAAAAGACGTGGATATATCGGTAGCAGATTACACGAGCAAAAGTATCATGTTTCATGATTCTGAAGGTTTGTATGTTGGTGAGAGGCGAGAAGCTATTATTGTAAATAGGCATTCTTAATCCAAAGAATTTATCATCATCATCCAACAGCACAAAAAAAATTTAGAAAAAACACAAAAGTTGCTTCCATCACTAAAAGATTGAAGAGTATAGTATCAAGATTATTTCACAGTTTATTATCATCATTATCATTAACTACAACAAATTCTCCATGGATGCCTTCGGCATTATCTTCTTCCTTGCCAACTTTCTCTTCACGAACACATTTGATGTTGTCTTCCTCCATTTATCAACAGCAACAACAAAAGCAACAGATAGAAATGGTAAAAGATCCTGATTATAATGATTAGATGTTGCCATTATTAATATCAATGATAAAAAGGTTTTCAACTGAAAACGTTAATAAAAACATGAAATAAGATCAAAAAAAAAAAACAGAAAATAAAATGTACAACTGAAAACGTTGATAAAACAAACATGAAATAAAATCAAGATCTTTTATGAAAGAGAATGTTCAAATACAGAAGGTCCTATATACGATTTTGATGAAATACGAAGATTGTTCCAAGAAATAGAACCAAGCTTGAAGGGGTTTTTTGACCAACACTATTTAGCAGCTCAGCCATTTGAACGTAATGAACAAACAATGAACCATATGAAAGAGATTAATGATGTTCATATGTATCTTCTTGCTTTATAAATAATACAAAAATTAACTCTTTTAAGTTCGACCTTGCATTCTATTTAGATTCGGTAGGTATAAGTCTTGGAGCAACCACAACATCAAGAGCAGTAAATCGTAAAAAGAAGCAAGTTGCAGATGAAAATGAGAAATATGTAGAGAATGCACTTATAAAATATTCAAAAAGTGCATTCATGTTAATGTTGACGATTATCATAGCATTCACATCCAGAGACAAACTGATACTACCACTATATCAAGCACGAAAACAGTATCCTTTGATTACTAAAACCCCATCTTATGGTGTTAATTGTCTTTTTTAGTTTATGAAATAACCGATCGTCACCTTCCAAGATGCTTTGTTACTTCTAGGAAACCATCTACAACATTTTTTGAAGTTACATAATTGTGATTACACTAACTATACTAATTTGAATAATTGTAGTGTATATATTCACGTGTGGACATGGTTATCACAATCGTTGTCTACAAAGGTGCCAATCCAAATGTTTGATATCTTGGACTATCTTCAAGTCGAATCAAAAAAAAATGTCAGCGCAAGTATGACGAAAAGATTAAATGAAAATGAGTTTGTTGAAAATAACGAAAATACAGTTGATGTTAATCCGGATAACGTTGGTTGAATCAGCAATAGGTGATATAGTAACAATGGAAATTTTATTAGAACATGCAAAAAAAAATTTTTTTGGATTGTAAATTTTGTTTTTATTAAATCGTATATCTTAAATATTGGTTGTATTTACAATCATTTCGTCGACTTCATTATATTAAGGTTATTTTGATTATATCGAGAGATATGGTCAAGAGAAGAGTTAGGAAGAGAGTTATTCTTCAACCAAGTCGGAAACCAACCCTTTAAATACATTTTGAGTAGTACAATTTAATTTATTAGACTATTTCAAAGGTTTGTCGCATGGTTGCTTCCAACTTCTTAAATTCGAGATCGTTGACAAAATGAATGCATGGGTTAAAATTTTGTTACCTGTTCATTCAAACAAATAATTGTTCACAAAACAACACTATTTGGAATGTAATTATTTTTTATTTGTCAATAATTAATAAACGTTCTGGTCTTGGGGTAATTCTTGTTTTTTGACATGATTACCATAGAATTGAGTTCGCAGTATATAAATCTATGTAAATAATCATCAACTATCTCTTTTTTCATAAACATTTATTCCGTCCGTTCATTGATTCATATCCTTTAATTATTCTTGTTTGCATATATTTTTATAATAAAAATTCAATATCCAGTATATCGCTGTTTATTAAATATGTTGATTATGGTGTTAACATTACTTTTATAAAAAAAGAGTCTCGCCCATTTATTTATAAGTCCAATTAATTATATAATTTTATAAAACAAAATAACAGTCAAAGCTCATTACAGTAGACTTTTTTGTTTTTCGTTTATAATATTTTTATAACTGTCTCTCATTACAGTGGAAAAATAAAAAATAAAAAATAAACATATTAATATAGAACCAAGGGTCCATCCGATTTAAGTGTATTTAATAAATAATAAATAATAATAATAATAATAATAATAATATTCTCTTTTATCTGCTAATTAATAATCAATTTCACTGACCCACAACTTCACAGTAGGATCGGGTCTAAGAATAAGATTTGCTTTAGTTGTAACTTTGAAACCTTCAACTTCATGGAACTGGAA